GGTATATTGCAACTAAATATGTCATCGCGACCTTTAAAGCTTAAAACTTGTAAATCAGGCATTATATACTAGTGATGGTTTAATTATGGTTAAAATAATTGTAATTAATAATTATAACAGTTATTAAGTCAGTTATTAACTGATATCAGACATATGGCTGACTGTCTCTCTGTCTATGCGATCCGATATCACAATCACTATTAAAGTTTAGTAACTAAACTGATGGTCAAATAGCGATCAAGTTTGCGCACATGTGCTGTAATATATGCAATATATTTTTTGATTGGTGGAAGGAATATACAGTGTTTTACATACCATTAGTAAAACACTAATTAAATTGGCGTCAAATGCAATGCATTTCACTGTAAAAGTATTTGAGAGTCCAATTGTAATACGAGAATGACTTTAAAATGTGTATTTAAATTGACTTTAATACAAATTAAAATATTAATTATAACAATAAAATCAGATTAATTACAACACAAAAGTTGTGTTCATTTAAATGAAAGAAAATTCAAATGTAATGAAGAAAATTGTGGCAAAAATTGAAAACAAAAATATAATTTAATTCTTCATTAAAGAGAGAAAAAGTATTGATTTATCATAAATTTATTCATTAATTAATTATGTTATTTAGAAATATTAATAATTCAATTAAAAGTTTGTCTAAAAAATCAGTAAATGTCTAATTCGGTAAATAATAACAAAAATAATTAGTTCTCGTCTTATGTAACATAAGTTCTGTCAATTACTTAAGAAAAGTCAATTAAATTGAGAATCAAATGATATATTTAAGGCCATTAGTAATTCAATACAAAATATATGTCAAAATTCTAATCATATTTACAAATAATACAATAATAATACGATAAATAATTAAATCACTATTTAAGAAATGTTATAAGTATATCAAATAAAATAATAGTTTTAAAGAAGTTATAAAAAATACAAAAATGTCAAAATATTGTCTTATTTTTGGTCAACACAAGTCATGGATTCGCTGTCTTCTGAGTCTTCGGTCAATTGTCTGATGTCTTCGAGTGCTTTTAATGACAACCCATTCTCTATAACCAAAGCCTTCAATAAAGTGTATGTCATTTGGTATTGAGTTTTGATTTGATTCTCAATTTTCTTAAACGTTTCCCGAATATAGATATCATCACTGATTTTGTCTGAATTAGTGGTCAATTGATTGTGGGATCCGATCGATGAAGTACTTGAAGAGGAATCACTCGCTGAACATCTGTTTAGATAAAAATTTTAATTTATTTATAATTCCGCAAATAATTACAATTAGAGGCAAACCTTATATTCTGTGCATTCATTTGTTGAGCCAATTGTTTGACATCGGATTCAATGATAAGTTTCGATCCCTTCAATGCCCGCAACCCATCACTCAAACCACTGATTGTTTTCCACACATAATAATCGGCGTATAATAAACACGTTATGAATAGCGTTATTACGGTTATAACGATTATATCTAATTCATTAACATCTGTGGCCACTGTTTGATCCCTGAAAATAAAAAATATTAGTTTTATGTAAAAAATTAATTGTTTTCACTTTAAATATAATCTAATATTTGTTTAGTGTTTATATCAAACCTTTTATCAAAAATTTTCTTCAAAAACTTTTCTCTTAAATCATTGATCTCTTCAGTGATTGTCTCAATTGAATCCATGGCTGTCTTGAGCTGTGCTTTCAATGGATTCGCTTCGGACTCATTGCTTGCGTTGAACTCTTCGCTGAAACCACTGTTTTTTGTGGACACGATATAAATAGCCGATAATAAGCACAAAACAAATATCGCTGTTGTAATCAATTTACACCAATTTTTGATCACTTCTTGATTACTAAAAAATATACATTTATTATCCAAAAATTTTAATAAAATCAAACATTTGATTATTAATTATATATAATTTATATCAAACCATAATTGTTGTCTCAAATCCTTGATCTGAGTATCCATTGAGTCTTTAGATGTCTTGAGCTGTGTTTTCAATGCCAACACTTCACTCAAATCTGTGACCATTTGTTGATTGCTGTAAAAGACATGTTTTATATAAAAATGTTTTTCAACAAAATATAGCATTTATTGAGAAATAATATCAAACCTTTGATTCAAATCATAGATCCCTTTCTCCATTGCCTCCATTGAGTCGTTGGATGTCTTGAGCTGTGCTTTTAATGCCTTCACTTCGGACTCATTGCTTGCCTTCAGAGCCGACATCTCTTCACACAATTGAGTGATATTTTCTTCCGACTCTTTACTCGGACTATAGTTTTGAACAAACATTTTATAAATAAAATATAATTAATACGTTATATTAAAATACAATATACGGTAATACAAAAACCCATACCATAGTGATTGTGCGTCGAGTTTGGCCCAGATGAGTATTTCAAAGGCATTGTCACGCCAATAACTGTCCAATTTGTGATCATCATCAAATAACATGTAACTCTTGTTACTTGAGTCCATTGATAGGCACTTGAGTCCAATACTGTGGGTGTTTTCATTGTACAGACCTTTGGTCAGTAGAAAACTCTTGAGATCTTTGATTGTCTCAACACTATCGGGTATATCGATGGCCAACATATAATCGTTATAACCATCGTTGTTTATTTTATAGATAGGCATTATATACTAATGATTGTTTAACTATGATTAAAATAATTATAATCATTAATTAATAATAATTGTCAGATATATGGCTGTCTCTGTATGCGATCTGATCTCACAATCATTACTAAAGTTTAGTAACTAAACTGATGGTCAGTTTGAGATCAGGTTTGCGCACATGTACTGTACATAATATATGCAATATATTATTTGATTGGTGGAAACACAATACAACACGTGATAAATATACAGTGTTTTAGTAATAACTAGTTAACAGCTCGATCTGTTTATTAAATAGTTGTTTTAATTTAAAATTGTCATATTATATTACTCATATACGTTTAATTAATTGGATATATCGGGTTCATAGTATGAATATCAAACCTTAAGTCTCGGGTACCAATATCTGGAAGTACATAATTTGGGATAATAGGTATTAATGCGTGATAATGATTGGGAACAACATCTCCTCGAATCAGTGGCACATGAGCGACAAATATTGGTGATAAACTTTCAGTTGCTAGTGATGGTGAATACAATTTTCTATGTTGTTGTTCACCATTAATGAAAGTATTAATTGGTTTGTTTATAGCAATTGATGTAGCTAAAATGGAAGAATTATTTGCCCATCCTCCTACAGTTGAAGTATTTTTCAATTCATGTAAAACATCGGCATCGTTATATAAATTTGAAAATATATTAAAATAGTCAGTATGTCTAAACATCGCAACAACACTTGCAAGACGTATAGTATTAAAGTATTTCTTTGTACCGAACAACGCTAATGATATACAATAATAAAAGCATGAACCATCGCCTGAAACATCATATTCGTTAAAAGAATTTCTCATACAATTAGGAACAACATTTCGATGTTCCATTAATAGTGTTTCATTATTACATTCGTTAGCCATTATTGGTATTTTATTTTGTAATAATTCATTTATGTAATTGATAATACCCTCATGTTGATTTAAATATTCATTCAATAAATCGTTATAGTTTGATCTGTTTAGTATTATTTTAATATTATTCAAAATTAATAAACTTTGCTCAGTTATATCATTGTATGAATAATCAATATCCATTTCATTTTCTGAATCTGATTCGTTTTCTGAAATTTTGATCTTTTTAATAGGAGAATATAATGAATGATCTACTTCGTTTTCAAAATTTTGTGTATTCCTTTTAGTAGATACTTCATGTGTAAATACTTCTTGGTAAACTACATTTTTTGCAATATATTTGTTTTGATATTTTTTAGTAAATATTTTCAACGACTGTTTAGATGTAACACGTGATAGTGCAACATATAATTGACCATGACTAAAAACATCTTTTTCAAGGTGAATCGCAACATTTTTCAATGTCTGACCTTGACTTTTGTTTATAGTCATCGCAAAACATGGTCTAATTGGAAATTGCCGTCGCCTTAATGTAAATGGCATTGTTTCGTCAACTTTTGTTAAAACAATTCTAGGTATAAAAACCTGTTGCCCTTTATAAGAACCTTTAATAATTTCTGCTTCAATTAAATTTTGTTTTAATGATAATATTCGTAATTGCGTGCCATTGCACAATCCTTTAGAAGGGTTTATATTTCTCATAAGCATAACTGGTATACCAACTTTTAAGAGTAATAAGTGAGGTGGAATTCCGCTTAAGTTAAGTGAATTCAAAAATTCTATATCATAATTATTTTGATTTTCTGTTTCAGCAATAGTATCATAACTCAAATATGTTGTTGACTTGCCTGTTATTTTTGACATTATTTTATTATTTATTTCATCAACAATTTCATTTTTTGTAGCTAAAATAGTCCAATCACTTAGTGTGTTATTTTCAATAATAACATTTATAAAATTATCAAAATTTGTTACATTATCACAAATATCTTCTGGTAGTTCAATGAAATCAGGTGGTTGTACATTACGTTCAGAACCCTCTCCAATACGAAGTAAGTATTCGGAAAATGTTTTATATTCTTCTACGTTTGATGTAATTTGTTTCAATCTTTCATTGATTTTTAAATGGCAGACTTTGATTTTACTCCATAAATATGATCTATTTATACAACTGTTTACTATATCAAACCTCATTCCTTTTGGTATTACTGGTAGAATTTGTCTAAAGTCGCCGCCAAATAATATAGTTTTTCCACCAAATGGTAAATGAGGTTTTTTCATTATATCCTGAAATGTTCTATCAACACATTCATATACTAATTTACTCATCAATGGTGCTTCATCCCAAATAATTAGTTTACAAATTCTGATTAGTTGTGCATGTTGTGTTTGGCATGAAATAGAACATCGGGAAGTTTCATTGATTATAATTGGAATTTTAAATCTTGAATGAGATGTAATTCCTTTATTTAATAATATTGCTGAGATCCCTGATGTTGAAACACATAATACAATATCTCCTTTACTTCTTAAATAATCTGCTATGCAATTAAATAAAAATGTTTTGCCTGTACCTCCAGGTGCATCAATAAAAAATAGGTTATTTATTTCGCGATCAGTGGCTTTTATTACATTATTAAATATTTGCTTTTGTTCATTATTTAATTTATTTAAAGTATCAGTCATTGTATTTTTTATGATATCTAATTCTATTTTATTTAATTTTTGATCGGCTATAATCTTTGCATCAATATTAGTAAATTTAATTAAATCTAAATTAATTTGAGGCATTGATGTTTTGAATTGGTTTGATAACGACATATTTTGTTGATTTAATATTTCCTCAATTTCTAATAATGCCATATTTATAGTTATTGGATCAATCAATTGAGTAGAATTTGAATTAATTTCAAAGTGTCTTTGAAAATCCTCTGTTAATGAATCGTAATATTTATCCCACAATTGCCATGGATTTGATGGGTTTGAATAAATTAATATAAATGTAAAGCATTCTCTTAATTGTTTAGGATTTTTAAATGTTTCGGCTTCTTGTAATGTCATATCCCAAATATCATCTGATTCAAGTAAACCAAAAGCGATCGCAGCTTGTTGATATGTTGAATATACAATATCATTAACTTTTCTCAAATCCGCAAAACATGTAGCACCTTTGTTATAATTTAACATTAATCTTAAAAAAAATCTTTCTTGTTCATTTGGACTAACTGTGAACATTCTTCCTACAGTTTTTTCAGAATCATTTTTACGTTTTTTCCAACATTTTGTTTTTTGGTCATACCAATAATATTTTGGAAATTCAGAATAAGTCAAATGTCTACCATCGGAATTTATCATATTATATTCCATCCATTTTGTTAAAGTTGTTTCTTTTTTTAAATATGAGATTTTCTCTTCATTAGTTTTGAATGTAACATTCTGTTCATTTTCTAAATGAACGGCTAATCTATAAACATTTGGATAAATATGCGACAGTTCATAACCAAATATTCTCCAAATTGCTTCTGAAGAAGAAACATATCTAACTGATTGAAATTTAGATATTTCGTCGTTTGATATTTCAGCAATTCCTGCATCATTTCCTTTATGAACATATTTAGTTATATATTTAACAGCTTTGATAGATTGACAATTTTCAAAATTTATATGACAATTATATTTTGTTGAAAGATATGGATTATATGGAACAACCCAACTATTATCTACATTACGCTTTCCAACTCGATGATTTTCATGCCTGTTATCTCTTCGTTTATATTCAGGGTATCCTTCTTTTACTTGTGTTCTTGTATTGAATTTTTTTGGGAAACCTTTAGTACATTTCTTTTCTTTGTTGCCTTCATTATCTTTCATACACGGTGCATTGGGATTTAATGATCCACATGGCCCGTGAAGTTGACAATTCATGATTGTTTCATATAATTCTGGATACAACTCTTTATTTGGAATTTCAGCACTAATCACATTATCAATATCTTCTATGGTTCGTAGAATATCTATTCCTGCCATAATCAATAATATATGACCATGAGGTAATCCTCTTTTTTGAAATTCGATTCTATAAATAATAGCAACAACATATCCTAATATGTGTTTATTTACTAAATCATCAATTAAATCATTAAACTTTTTACGAAATACTCGATTAACAATATCGGGTCTCTCGCTTGGAGATTGTCCTGGAAGTAAAGCATCCTTTACTTCTTGACAATTCGGATTCATTGTAAATGTTATAAAATGAGTTGGTTTTCCAAAATTAGCAACAACAGCCATTGCATCTCTGTATTTTTGTTGCATATAACGTGGAGAACCAATGAAAGTACTTGGTAATATAATATGTTTTCCTATGTCATTTGGATTTATACCTTTTCCTACTGAATCCATTAATCCATTATAGCATTCTGTTCTTAGTTGTGCTTGATTAAATCGTAAATAGTTCAATCTGTCTTGTTCAATTTTAACGTACATATCTACAACATATTGTAAATATAAACGTCCATATAAATGAATATTTATATTCGTTTGTCTAAAATATAATATATATTTATAATAATTCATTAAAGTATATTTATTATTTCCTTTCATTTCTTTGAGTTCGAGGCTCCATCCATATTCTCCGTAAGGGTGTATAAGAGGATAGGCCAAACTATCATATAATTTATTGTTTTGATTAATATGCACTAAATGTCTTTTATCGCAATCATTTTTATCTTTATATTCTATTAAAATATCTCGTTTTTCAGTTGTTTCATCGGGCATTAATACAGCAATATCTGGAAAATCTCTTGATGGTAAATTGTGTGTTTTAGGATTTCTGTTATGTTTTGCTATTAATTTTACTCTGATATTATCTGTTTCTTCTGCACTTTTTAAGCGTTCATAAATTGTTTTTAACACTTTTATGTGTTCATTGTTTTCATGCAATATATCTTGCAAAGTTTTTAGAACATCACGATTCAAATTTGGCATACAATTATGACGTGTATTTAGTTGTTCTTCAGTATCATAGAAATATATTTGCATGAATTTTGGAGTATCATTTAAGTTAGGAAACAATGATCCAATATTATGAAATATTTGTCCTGATATTTTAAAAGTATAAATTCCATTATTAGGAAATTTAACAATATTTGTTCCAAGTGATGTGAAACTTAACAAACTGTTATATGATCTTATATATTGCATAAAATGTTTACTATTTGAATCTTTGTTTGTTAATAAATTAAATAAAGCAGATGGAAGTTTTTTAAACAACGGAAGTGTTATCTTCCCATTGCAACAACATGGGAATTGATTTCCTCGTTTTATTTCACCTTTATAGAATAGTGCATTGCAGTGTTTACATATGACTGTTAAATTTCCTATATATGAATCATAACGTCTTACATTTACATTTTTGTTTCTTGCAATATTGTATGTTTTTTTATGTTTTAAAGTTATACTTGTTCGTGTATCTATATCACGGTTAGTTATCGCATTTGCGCCTATGGCTGCATCATTATCATTTGCGCCTATGGCTGCATCATTATCATTTGCGCCTATGGCTGCATAATTATCATCTGCGCCTATGGCTGCATAATTATCATCTGCGCCTATGGCTGCATAATTATCATCTGCGCCTATGGCTGCATA